CTTGACTTTTGTTTTACCTTTTCTTGGATCTCACAGTAATCTCACAAAGAAGGCATCAAGAACTTCCAGTTAGGTGAGGATCCTTGAGTTCAGAGAGGGACAGGGACTTGCTCGGGGATATATAACTAATCAGAAGCAGACCCAGAACTTGAAGACAGCATCTCATCGGGCACGGAAATCCTCATACATCGCTTTCCCAGCTCCAGGCTGCCTTTGTGCTCACGTTCTGACTTGCGAGCAATTGGACAGCCCTTGTGTAATGTACCACGTCACCATTAGGCGGCGCCTTAAGCCAACAAAGCTGTCCAGGACGATGCCTTTGTGGAAATTGGTTTTCTTCCATTACTATGGGATTTTAAGTCAGAATGATTTTTCCTCCCCTCCCTTTCTTTCCTTTAAAAAAAAGGGGGGGGGTGGTGGCTTTCAACACACAATTTAGCCTGGCTTTCGTGCCAGGCGTAAAATGAAATTTGCCTTAATCTATCGCCTAGGGAGAAAGTGTTTATGTGTCACAACTGACATCTGTTAAATTTTAAATGAAGTAAGCAAGCACTAAGAAGGTCTGAAATACATTCTTTGTTCAAGAAGTCTCACAGACACTGATCGGCTGCTCTGTACAATTAGGAATTAAACAGGCACCTTTTTTCCCCCACAACAAGGTCTGCTGAAAGCCTCAGTAAGGACAAAAACAGAGGGATGGACTTGCACTCCGTGAGGTTAACACTTCCATTTCAAGTTCAAGCAAATTGGTTGGCCACAGCGGGGAGGCCACTCCGACAGCTCCATTGTACCTGCTTCTGCCCCCGGGACGGGAGCCCAGGCCTGCCCCTCCTTACCTGCTCTGGGTTTTCTGCACAGGGTGAGAAGGCGTGAGGCGCTTCACCCAGAGAAGCCACCTCACGTCCAACCATCAGTGTGTTATTGTGGGCAATCTATTCTTAAATCAAAATACATTTGTTCTTTTGTATTTCCCACTAGCAAGGAATGCTGAGCCAATCACTCCAACGTAAGTCCTTGCAATCTCTTATTCAAGCTTCATTATTAGCAAGAGAATGAGAACAGATATAATTTCAATATGCAGCTTAAATATCAGTTAAGAATTTACTTCTTGTAAGGATGTACTAAAATCACTAGATAGGAAAGGAAGGATTGCCTGTACGATAAAATTTTCTAATTGTAGAATGCTATATTTGAGGTATTGGAATTTTTACTGCATAGTAATTTTACAAAGTACTGAGTTTCACTATGGCATTTTCTTTCTTTCTTTTTTCTTGGTACTAGGGATCGAACTCGGGTCCTTGCTCATGGGCAGATTGTGGCATTTTCATACATACATGCAATATACTTTAATCATACCCATCCCCTACCACCCTGCCTTGCCACAAATTTTTTTGTATGGTATTGGGGATTGGACGGAGGAATAGTGCTCTACCACTGAGCTGCATCCCCAATCCTTATTACATGTTTTATTTTGAGATAGGTTCTCACGAGTTGCTCAGGGGGACTTGAACTTATGATCCTTCTGCCTCAACCTCCCTCAGCACTGGGATTACAGGCACCTACCTCGATGCCAAGCTTCCTTACAACACAGTCTTTCGGGTTCAACCCTTTGTTTCATCCTTTTCCTGATCCCTAGGGGGAAAAGCTAGGTATCTGGGGCAGTAACAAAGTGCCACTCCTGCTGTTGAGTTGAGCCCAGTGGACAAGGAAGTGACAGGTTATGGTCTGAGGCACTTGGAAACCAGGAGTCTCTGCCATCTTCCCTTCCCTGGCCCCACGCTCTAAATGGTGTTTCCAAGCAGCCAGAGTGGTTGTGCAAAGCAGAGCTCCCTCCCTTCACCAACCTGCCCTGGGCCCCTAAGGAGAAAGAAAAATCACTGTTGTTTTCCTTGGTATTGGGGATCGAACTCAGGACCTTGCGCTTGGGAAGCAGGCAGCGGAATCACTGAGCTAAATCCCCCAGCTGGAAAATCACTGTTGTTGTGGACCTAATTTATTACTGCAGTGCAGCCCGAGCATCCTAGCAGGCAGGGCCTTGTCTGGGACGGTGGGACCCTGAGCACCAGTGCAGCACTGTCCCTGCTGGTAGTGAAGACCCAGGAAGTTTGTTGGGTGCACTGCTAATTCCACCCATCTCTGATTACTCAGGACACTGCAGTTCCCTCAGATAAACTCTCCCTTCTGATCAGGCTAGTTGGAAATGGAACTTTCTCTTTTCAACTCAGACTTCTGCTTAATGCAGAGTGACCGGAAATGTTCACTTTTCTCTGTGTCTCTCTCTTGTTCTGGAATTTTCTCTTTTTTTCTGATGTATTATCCTTCATTTCAATTTTCTCTTTTTTCCTTTTGTCTTGTAACACACTAATTGTTAAAAATGTACAAATGGAGCACACATAAATATTTATGGTTGTTCTTTACTCAGGAAAATGTTTTTAAAATCTAATAACACTTTTCTTATTTCTAAAGTGTGGTGCATTTATTAAAGAATAATCATGTGAACCAAAGGAAGAGGGAAGTGCCCACACTTCCTGAATGCCCAGAGGAAAACATGGATCATAGTTTGCTATGTAGCTGCAAAAATGGTATGATTTTTACAAAACAGTATGGTATTTTATACATATCATCTTGGTTTTTGTTTTGTTGTTTTGGTACCGGGGATCGAACTCGGGACCTTGTGCTTGCAAGGCAGGCAGCAGCACCACTGAGCTACATCCCCAGCCTATACATACCATCTTAAAACCCATTTTTCCACTAAGTGAGAAAAATATTTTTCCAAGTTAATAAACATATTTTAATAATACTACTTAAGTGGCTAGACAATAATATTCCATTATGTGGCTATATGATGAGTTTTTAAAAGTTCTGTGTTTGTTAAACATCATCAACAGCTACACAATTTTGTCTTTGTCATTGAGATAAATTTCCAAACATGGAAGTTTTGTGTCAGCACAGAGGCACATGGTTATAGACTTTTTATACACATTGCCACTTTGCCTTCCAGGATGGTTCTACGGAGTTAGGGAACAAGGGTCCCCTTTCCTTTGCATTCTAAGTATTTAACTTCCAATATATTTCCAACTTAATAAAACTCATCATTGTCATAATTTGTGTTTTTATTACAAGTAGAGTTATTAGTGTTTTCATGTCTGTTCTACTAATTTTCAGTTCATATATTCTATTTTTCTGCTGAGATATTATTATATAATACTGATTTGTCTATTTTGAATATTGTCTTGGTCTGTTTTCTGTTGCCAGAGCAAAACACCTTAGACCAGGTGATTTATAAAGAATAGAATTTCATTTGGCTCAAAGTTTCGGAGGCTGGGAAGTCTAGGAACATGGTGTGAGCACAGTGTGACATCTGTTCAGCTTCTGGTGAGGGACTTCTTGTTGCACTGTAAGATGGCCAGCTGAGGAAGAGTGCAGTGCAGGTCTCTCTTCCTGTTCTTAGAAAGCCACTAGGGCATCATGTACATCAGCCTCACCCTCGGGCCCTCATCTAACACTAATTACTGCCCAGAGGTCCTGCCTCCAAATACCATTAACATGTGAGTGGGGATTAAGTCTCCAGCAGATGAAATTCTGGGTGGCATGTTCAAACTCTAGCAGACATTAATTCCTTATTATTATATAGATGACAAATATTTTCCCCAATTTTTAATTGCCTCTTAAGTTTTTATATTAGACATTTTAAAAATTCTAAATGTCAACATATGTAGCAATTGTTTCCTTGTATTTTCTGCTTGGAGTTATGTCTAGCCAGTCCTTCCCCGTTCTGACATAAATATTTACTTGTATTTTCTTCTAGGTCTACTGTGGTTCCATGTTTCCTGTTTTAGTATGCAGCATTTGTTTTTAACTTTGGTGTGCATCCACCTTTTGTGGATCAGTATTTGATTAGTCTATCACTTCCCTACAAATTGCAAATACAGTACCAATTTTAATATTAGTAATGATTTATGGGTTTCTAGTGCAAAAATCTATTTTTTTCATCCCTAGGTTGGTAACAAACCTCCTAAATTATAGTAATTTGGAAATATATTTTACTATCCAGTAGTATCTGTTCCTTTTAATTTAAAAAAATTAACTTCATTACTCACAAATATATTCTTCCAGTGGAACTTAAAAATCAATTTATAGAATTAAGAAATTAAAGATCTACTATAATCTAGAAATAACACCGAGCCTTATCAATCGGGTACATGATATCTGCATTTCAAGTCTTCTCTCATGTCTTTAGGTCAAGTTTATATTTCTTCTATGTTGATTCTAACTAGCCTATAATTTTGTTGTTGTTGCTTTCATAAATGAGATGTTTTCCTCATTATATTTTCTAACTTCTTCTAGCTGAATATTATTCCACTGTGTGATATACCACATCTTGTTCATCCATTCATCCATCAATGGGCACTTGGTTTGCGTCCACCTTCTGGCTGCTGTGAATAGTGTTGTCACTGTGAGACCTGAGTAACTCCATTTTAAAATTTGGCCCCATCTTAGAGTAAGGTGGCCTGGACATAAATTCTAGTTCCAAGAAAAACCACAAGATGTACTTTGGCCACCTGCCTGTGATAATGTTCAGCAGTCCCCTAGCAACTAGCCTAGCAACAGCTAATCA